GGCCCCCTATTGATAAAAACTATAGATTAAGATCTCTGATTGCATGGGACTCTGATATCTGACCTATATAATGAAGTACTATGCAAATTTCCCACCACTGACTATCAGACCGCAAAGATTAAGGGGAGCGTCTGCCCCAAAAAAGATCTGGGATATCAACAGACAGATCGATTCAAAATTTGGTACACGTATGTAACACGGAATTCGTTTTTTTTTGTTCCTGTGAATTTTTCGAAAAATGAAAGAAAACGTGAAATTCCTAGAAAACAGCCAAAAAGTGAGTATTGTATAAATCTATCTCCTCCTAGGATTTTCAAGCTACAACATCGAGACACAGATCATTCGATGCGTAAAGACCATATCTACGAATAGAGGAAAGTTTTTTTTTTAATTCCTCATTTTTGTGAGTGTGGGGGCATTTTTTCCAAAATGTTTCGGAGTTTTCCAATTTCACCCCCGCCCGCCCTCCTTTTTGCAAAATAAAATCCGAACTATAACGAAATTGGAAAAAAAGCCTCCCTGTAGTTGTAGATATTTTATTTGTAAATCGAACGGTATATGTCTCATTGATGTAGCTTCAAAACTCTAGGAGGAGATAGGTTTGCAGTGACAAAAAGTTATTTTTTCAGGAGGGTCCGACAAAGTCGCGCGCGCCTCGAAAAAGACATTCAAGGGTGCAAGGTTGCAAGACTAGACGATATTTGAGCTCAATTTCTGTCAAGGATGGTGTGAACGACGGCACGAGAACCATCCCATACGACTGCAGACGGATAACTTAAGCACAGCGCGTTCAGACTAGCTATTTAAGTGTGCTACCGGTAATTTCGGCCTATATTTAATGTTGAAGAACTCCACCACCCCTAACCCTTTCGAGCTCTGTCGTAAACGCATAAATCAACGTACAGAGATGGTTTTGGTACCGTTATATGCGTCAGAATGTAAGCTTTAAGATGAGTATAAAAACCGAAAAAGTCAAAATATTTGATTTTCGGGCAGACGCTCACCAGCTCTGACGTGGGCGTTATATTAGTTGTGACCGTCAGGTAAGCTGCTGATCCGGACTTGCGTACTGGTTCCTCTTATTGGATCTTGACTCCGACGCCAGGGTGAGTTGCGTGCGATAGTGGTGAAATTTGATTACTTAGTGAAATATCGTGATTATTGTGAATATTAGGATTTGTCATGTGTAGGTATTTACTTTTGCTTTCTGTTGTAGGATCGTGCGTTTTTTCTCAACACTCCATGCTGTAGCTCGCTCCTCGCTTTTTAGCTGTCTCAGCGCATTCGACTTGAATTAGCTCTCGTGTTCGAGTTTTAATTATTTTTCCGCTTCCTTTAGTTGTTTTTTCCTATTTTCGCACCCGTTGTATTCGATTTGCAAAAATTTGCCGATTATCTTTAATACATTGAAGTAAGCTTGTTATTTGAGTTTTCAATCCGTCCAGCCCAAGTCTTGCTTATATACTGGAAGCCAATAGGGAAGCAGCTTTAAATTTCCGGTCATTGGTGGGCGTGACAATTAAGACCATCCGAACTTTCAAGGTGACGCAATTTGTAATTCGGAAAGTTAAGTCTAGTGGCTAGATCGTCACATGTCCTTAATTTCGACCTTTGTTGGAATCTTGATTATGGATCCTCGATTGCTGCCCTTGATTGATACCCTTAATCGCCCCTTGACCGTTCCGCCGTTGCCGTTAAACGCGTAAATTGTTAATTACTTAGCGCTCGCTGACCGCCGGACGCCCGACGCCGGCGGCGCGAAAGCTCAACTCGAGACCGCGGAACGGACGCAATTTAGTGAATGAAATACGCTATACAAGTGCGTAGGGCGGATACGTGAGTGATATGAAAGGGATACGTGAGTGATATGAGAGGGATAGGTGAGTGATATGAGAGGGATAGGTGAGTGATATGAGAGGGATACGTGAGTGATATGAGAGGGATAGGTGAGTGNAGGATTCCTTACATTAAGTTACTATGTTGGTAGGATTCCTTACATTAAGTTATTATGTAGGTAGGATTCCTTACATTAAGTTATTATGTAGGTAGGATTCCTTACATTTCCCTTCTCTGTCTCTCTCGTGCGGCGGCCGACGTCCCGTGTAAGCGACCTCTTGTTCGAGTGTCTTCGTTTCTGTTACTTTTCACCAGTCCCTCCTTGTCACTTCGTCTCTTTGAGATGCTAACGCTGCTTCCTTCGAGCCAGCTTCAGCGGGCTGGACAACTGAGACATTCCGCCCCTTGTGGGTGATGAATAACTTTATATTTTGAATAATTGAGACCTTCCGCCTTGCTGGCGATGATATATTTTGACCTTTGGTGCGAAAAAGCTTGATAGCTGAAGCGCTAGCAAACCATCATACTACTACTACTTGTAGTTGGTCCTTATGATGATGTTGGTGCTGTTGATGCTGGAGTAACTATTGATTTTTTTTATCGGTTTTGCCGCTGCAATGCATGTTGTTTTTTTATTGAACTTGTGTTGCTGTTTTCGATGCTGTTATTGTAGTCATGCTGACTTCGCGGTTGTTTTGGTAACGCAACACTGCGGGTGTCGGGTGAGACATAGTAAGCGCGATGAACAGTGTACGGACCATTCAGTGTACGGACCATTCAGTGTACGGACCATTGAGTGTACGAACCATTCAGTGTACGGACCATTCAGTGTACGGACCATTGAGTGTACGAACCATTCAGTGTACGGACCATTCAGTGTACGGACCATACAGTGTACGGACCATTCAGTGTACGGACCATTCAGTGTACGGACCATTGAGTGTACGAACCATTCAGTGTACGGACCATTCAGTGTACGGACCATTGAGTGTACGAACCATTCAGTGTACGGACCATTCAGTGTACGGACCATACAGTGTACGGACCATTTAGTGTACGGACCCTTCAGTGTACGTACCATACAGTGTACGGACCATTCAGTGTACGGACCATTCAGTGTACGGACCATTCAGTGTACGGACCCTTCAGTGTACGAACCATGCAGTGTACGGACCATTCAGTGTACGGACCATTCAGTGTACGGACCATTCAGTGTACGAACCATGCAGTGTACGAACCATTCAGTGTACGAACCATTCAGTGTACGGACCATACAGTGTACGGCCCATTCAGTGTACGAACCATTCAGTGTACGGACCATACAGTGTACGGACCATTCAGTGTACGAACCATTCAGTGTACGACAAAAATTATCAAATATCAGTTCATCGTAAACTGCTGTGATACCGAGCATCGTATAACTTACGATCAACGCAAAACATACGAACATCGTATAATAATTTACGAAGATCGTTCTACTGACGAACCTCGTATAACTTACCGACAGCATATAACTTTCGTACATCGTATAAATTACAAACATCGTATAAAGTGAACACCGTATAACTTACATACATCGTATAAAAATGAACATCGCATAACTTATGAAAATCGTACAACTAACAAGCTTCATATAACTTAAATATATCGTTAAACTTTCGTAGCTGCGTACGTTCACTTTCTGCGTATGCAGTTGAGCCGGCACAGCTCGGCCAATGAGAGCGCGCGTTGCAGTGGTGCGCCGCATTGGCTCAGCCAATCAGCGCTGAGGTCAACTTTGCGCGGGAAAATCACCGTACGCAACGCATGAAGGAATGCAGGTCTTGCGTTAAAGCCATGCGGGGTCTTCAATGAACTCATTATTTAGTAAATAAAAAATATATATCTAATGTTTTCATTATATGTTAACAAATACTGAAGTAGAAAATAAATAATCTCTTCATACATACGAACAAATACAGAAGAAGTCATAGTACATAGAAAATCAACGCTTAATCAAGCATGCTGTTAACTATATCCTGCGTAAATTTGATGTAATTTATTTAGAGAATAAACTTAAGGTTTTTATTCTAATTTAACTTAGAACTAGGGAGAACCTAAGGCAACTTTTTAACAAGTAAAAGAAAATATGAACGAATATCAACAGTAAAGCCAAATTCACGCAAACTATACTAAAATTATCGGAAAAACAGATCTTTTTTTTTTTGGTAACCTATAATTAGGAAGAAACACTAAATTCTGGTTACATATGAATAATGTTACCGGTTGTCAACATGGGAGCATAATTATAATTATCATACATATATACGATATTTGAATACAATATAGTACAATAGCGTGATTTAGTGACTACATTTAATTTAATTATCGTGCGCTGGCCAGGGCTGTGCTCGTGCAATGAACTCGCCGCTGGCCGCCGATGGCGCGACCATAAACTTCCTGCAGGCGCGCGGGCGTTGACCCCCCGACACCGTTACTGCGCCGGCACTAACCTGGCGTAGGATGCACTAACCTGGCGTAGGATGCACTAACCTGGCGTAGGATGTACTAACCTGGCGTAGGATGCACTAACCTAACGTACGGAACTACGTACGGAGAACTGCGAATTGAACGTACGGAACTACGTACGAAGAACTGTGAATTGAACGTACGGAACTACGTACGAAGAACTACGAATCGCACGTACGGAACTACGTACGAAGAACTACTAATCGCACGTACGGAACTACGTACCAAGAATTACGAATTGCACGTACGGAACTACGTACGAAGAACTACGAATTGCACGTACGGAACTACGTACGAAGAACTGCGATTCGCACGTACGGAACTACGCACGAAGAACTGCGAATTGCTCGTACGGAACTACGTACGATCTCTGTAAAACGAGCAACGAATTGTACGTAAAAACATGTTTAATTCATCATTTCTCGCCGTCAGTAACGACAAAACTTAAGACGTTTGCTACACAACATCGAGGTCATGCGCTGCAGCCACTTGCTGCAAGCCACATGCCGCACGCTGCTCGCCACATATGCTGCAAGCCACATGTCACATGCCCCATGCGGCAGGCTGCTCGCCACATGTAGCATGCCGCATTTCCTTATGTCTTATGTTCTTATGTCATGTTCAGGACTACCTTATCCGTGGCCACGCTGATGCACCGCATTCGTCGTCCACCGTCCTCAGGCCATCGATAGCCATGTCGATCGCCACCGCGGCCCGGCAACGCTGAACATGACCACCGTGTATCTGCTGTCAGTTGACCCAGCTGATGTAAGATGATGTTGCTGCCGCTTGCTGAGGGCAGTGGGCAAATACGGGCGATGTGGGATCTTGCTCTGCCGGGACCATACTTTCAAAATTCACTTAGTGAACGTAAGTGCTTTATACGCTCGATTTTCTTGTTTATGATTGGTGGATTTGGCTTGAAATGCCGTCAATGATTGGCGGATGAACTTACGATCTCTTTACTTTTTTGGATAGTTCAGGCACAGAAGCGCATCTAAACGTCTCTTGAATATCGTAAGGGAGATTCTCCCCCACTCGGCTCCTCGGACAGTAATTCCTTACGAAGAATCTGAATTCTGGCTGCAGAGCGGTCGTTAATTGGGGGTATCCTGCCAAGTCTCCCCTTCTTTCGTTGTGATACGTCACTATTTTGATGGTCTCACTTTCAAAGTTGGGGATCAGTCCGACTATCTTCTTCCGATTGCACAGTATACGATATACCTCTCTCTTCTCCTCTCGAGTGAATACAGTCCCAGCTTGATGTTTCAACCTGTCCCAGTAGAACAGGTCCCTCATACCGCTGACCCTAGTCGTAAAGGTCTATTGGATTGCCTCCAATTGCCGCACCGCACCAGGCTTATAGCTGCAGCCAAAGCTGGCAGCAATACTCCAGACAATGGTGCACGAGGGCTCTGAAAAGTGGTAATCCTTGGCTCCGCTTCTCTTGTACGGAATGTCCGCCAGATCCCTCCCCAAATCTTCTCTGCCTTTTGCAACAATTGCCCTAATGTGGTCGTCAAACGTAGCTTCAGTACTCTTCTACACTCCGAAATCGCGAACCAGTGTCTTCTCCTTATTTTCTTCAATTTCTGTGCTGTCTGATGCCAAGTAGCGATGCAGCATCCCGACATCAGTAAATGAGACTATCCATGCGTCAAAACTGCCTCACCTTCATTACTTCGGAATTAGTGCCCTTGAATTGCATATTATTCACTAGGACTCAATCGTAGATTGTCGACAAGTCATCCTGTATAACCTCTCGCAGTCTAGGTCGCCTGTATAATCCCTATCAGCACTCTTACATCGTCCGCGAACAACGATGTGGATGCATGAGTAAGTACTAAGTCGATGTTGGGGATGTGGATGAGGAAGAGGATGGGTCTAGGCTTCAAGCCTTGTGGCACTCCGCTTTTCCCTCTCCCTCCTCGATTTAGAGTCACCAATTGCGACAGCTTGTACCCTGTCTGTTGGAAAGTTGGGAATACATGCTATCAGGCTTAATCCTACCACAAGTCGCCTCTGCCTTCTGAAGCCACATGCCACACCCCACACGCTGCACGCTGCATGCGACACGCCGAACGCTGCACGCCACACATGCCACACGCTGCACGCCACACATGCCACACTCGCCATACGCCACACGCAACATGCCACATCCCACACACGTCGCACTGGTCGTCCTTGTAACAGTTCTGGCGCGCGGGTCACGCGGTCCACCGCAGCTGCCGCATTCCCGCCACTGCAATGATGGTGATGATTAATGAGATGATGGTGATGATTAATGCTGATATAAGAGATGATGGTGATGATTAATGCTGATACAAGAGATGATGGTGATGATGACTTTAAAGTGATAATGATGATGATGGGAGCTAACAAAACTAAGCATGACGGCGTCCAGCCGCTCATGAAACAGCCGTCGGAGTTTCAGATCATGACGTCATTAGGCCTTTCCAAGGATGCAATTAAGTCCTGTCGGAAATATTCTTAAGCCCCTTGAATAATTTTGTTTTCAGTTATTACTATTATATGCCTAATTAATGCTCATTTGATTTACTTTAATTTTTTATACAAAAGAGGCTGACGAATTAATATAATGAGGTCTAAATATAATTTCAAATAAATAGTCGCACAAGCAGTCATTATTAACTTGACTGTTATCATAAATCTATGCACGCCTATAAATCTGTACGCACACCTCTTCGTGCTGTACGCGCACCTCTTCGTACAGTACGCACACCTCTTCGTACAGTACGCACACCTCTTCGTGCTGTACGCGCACCTCTTCGTGCTGTACGCACACCTCTACGTTCAGTACGCACCGCTGTACGCAAGCTGTTCATGCTTCCCGCCAAAGCACGGCAGCCTTGGTGGATCTGGCCGACCTTGGGGCGACCATAGCGGCCACCTGCCTCGAGGAAACCGCTATATAAATCCGCTATATCCACGCGCTAAAACCGCTATAGTCGCGCGCCAAAACCGCTATATCCACACGTCAAAACCGCTATATCCACACGCCAAAACCGCTATACCCACACGCCAAAACCGTTATATCCACACGCCAAAACCGCTATATCCACACGCCAAAACCGCTATATCCACACGCCAAAATCGCTATATCCACACGCCAAAACCGTTATATCCACACGTCAAAACCGCTATATCCACACGCCAAAACCGCTATATCCACACGCCAAAAAATCCATGCGTCAAAACTGCTATATCCATGTATCAAAACTGCTATATCCATGCGTCAAAACTGCTATACGGCTATACCCATGCGTCAAAACTGCTATATCCATGCGTCAAAACTGCTATACCCATGCGCCAAAACCGCTATATCCACGTGCAAAAACTGCTATATCCACGCGCCATAGCCGCTAAATCCAACCAGGCGCTGCCAATTCACTAAAAATATAACTCAGTACTCACTCCAGTGAGTGACAGAGAGCGCATTTTCTCGTCGACGAAACATGAAGTCACGGAGGGACAGACGAACGGAAAGACGGACATGGCGAGCACAATAGTGCATTTTTTCATAAATGAGAAAATGCGGTAAAAAGGAACTGCTACTCACACCGAGGAAGACAGTGCGTCAAGTTGTCTCAATAGTGACGCACTTTCTTTCTAACTCACATTACTTGCACAGCGCGAACGTTAGCATTGATGCATTTTTTGCGGGTCAGAACTGGGTCAGAGTGATTCGTTTAGGTATAAAATTTGTATCGCTATTGGGAAAAGTCTTGCATATTTCTCGACTGCAAGACAGCGGCCGGCGGAGGGCACGCCAGCACCGGATGTTGCGTCACTCTTTGCAGGCAGAATCAAGACGCAATCTGAATAATGACTCAGGCGGGAAGTGCGTTGCTTTCAATGATTCCATAATTCATATATTAACTTTTGATACAAGATAAAAATAATGATTAACTTAGAGTTTTGTCAAATGAAAGGTCGAATCATAAAATGAGATACTTCTTCTTGTGATGTGGGTGAGTCACGCGACCTTCACGCGCTGCACGTGCCCAGGCCACGTGTCCATGTCGAGGATCTCAACCAATCAGCGAGCTTCCCGCCAAAACTGCATTGCATCAGGACGCGCAGCAATACTTGGGCAGCCTCTCCGCGCTGACATCTAGTCCCGAGGTTTGGTCCACGGTACAACGGCCCTGAGGTTTGGTCCACGGTACCACATCCCTGAGGTTTGGTCCACGGTACCACATCCCTGAGGTTTGGTCCACGGTACCACATTCCAGAGGTTTGGTCCACGGTACCACGTCCCTGAGGTTTGGTCCACGATACCACATTCCTGAGGTTTGGTCCACGGTACCACGTCCCTGAGGTTTGGTCCACGGTACCACATCCCTGAGGTCCATGGTCCACGATAATCGTGTACATAAAAGTTCATTTAAATTTAAAAACTATTTTTTTTTCATAATCATCGTCTTTAGAAAGTTTACAGAAAATTACATCATGAAACTCCAAGAAAAAGAAGGCTTATAAATACCAGTAGAAGTGAAGTAAAGATTTCAATACCCGAGGTAACGCAGACAAAGAGTTACTCATCGTCCATTTGAATATGAAAGTTATTTATTGCAAGAAAGTTTACTTGATTGAGTGGATCGTTAAGGCAAGCGGCGCGAAGGCTGGCTACCGGCACGCTGCCACCCGCTCAGCCAGCGCAACATTCATTAACATAAAATATTTCTGGATCTAGTGTTGAGGAATATAGCTTCATCAAACACTATATGCTGAATATAGTGCAATATATGCTGAATATAGCTGATGATGCTTGGAATATAGCTTCCAAGTCAAACTTCTTTCAAAAAAGCTATCCTCAATCTTGGACAAGAATAATTATGCTTCGAAATTATAATTTCATTCATTTCCGTTTTAATCTTTTCTCCCAGCTTTATGATCATTCGTGCAGGAAAATACGTCGCTGGCGCACATGTGCTCTAAGCAAAGCGGCAATTGGAATGTTGATCTACGTATTATCAAAATGCCTATTTCTGACGGCAATAATATATGTCACAGTGAATTTTATAATGACTGCATAAATAAATAATAATTATAATAAACAGTTCAACAACAATGCTGTTGGAGTGATAGGCGGCAAGAACAAAACAAGATCTATAGATAAATGACAGCATGAAAATCAGCGTGACAAACGTCACGCTAGAAGACCGTACTCTTTGTGCAGCAGAGTGAAGTGATTAATGTGAGTGAAGTGGTTAAGGTGAGTGAAGTGGTTAAGTTGAGTGAAGTGGTTAAGGTGAGTGAAGTGGTTAAGGTGAGTGAATTAGAATATTAGTGAACATATTCAATAGGGAACAAAACAATTGGTAAATAATGTGAGTTCTAACCATTACGTATCAGGCAGTTGACCGCACATACTACTTTAATTCAACCCTTGATCCTGCGTCGCCCAACTGGCCACTCTGCTGTGTGTTCAACACCCAGAGAAATGTGTGAGTTATTTTCCAAATAACAAAAAAAAAATTTTACCCGCGAGTAGGTCATCTTGACCCAGTTTGGCCCGACGTAGAATAGTTCTACGTCGTCGAAATGTTGAGCTGTGGGTGAGAAAGTACTTCATTATTGGGATAATATTACCCATTCATTACTCTCAGTGAAGATAGCTTAGCTCACCTGGAGGAGCGAGACACGCCTTACTTGACCCACTCATTTATATG